ATCTATTCACTCTAACTCTATGCTTTGTGCTCTGAGTGACGTCACTCGCTAGCGAACACATCGCACAGATTGTTTTCAAAACGCAGCGAGCGAAAGGATTAGCCATCTGGAACTATTTCACACTACCTCAGCCAACACATTCGACAGCTACGTGCAATACGTGCACAGCGACGGTTCCAAGAGGTGTCACTAAAACTTCCAGTTATAACACCACCAACTTAATCAAGCATCTCCAGAGATTTCACCCTAAAGAGCGCGCTGAGTTTGTTGAACAGAATTCAACACAGTTTCCCGTATCGCACAGGAGTCAAACTCAAGGCCTCGAGGGCCAGAGTCCTGCAACTTTTAGATGTGTCTCTGATGCCACACAGCTGAATCAAATAAGGAGGTCATTAGCAGGACTCTGGATAACTTGACTGCATTGAGAATCTAATTCAGTCATATGATTCAGGTGTTTTGGACCAATACAACATTAAAAGTTGCAGGACTCTGGCCCTCGAGGCCTGGAGTTTGACACCCCTGCGCGTATCGGATCGGCATCGTGCGAGCCCAAACCTCCAATATCTGTATCGGAATTGGAAAATGTGGATCGGTGCATCCCTAATAATAATAATGTGTTATGTATTGTCATCATTGAATGTTCCCATACAACAGTGAAATTGGATCTCTGCATTTAACCCATCTACTGCCAGGTGGTGCAGTGTGCAGCTATTGAAAGTGCCCAGGGAGCATTTTGATGATAAGATGTGCTGCTCAGAGTCACCACGAGATGTGCAATGACTGGGGATCGAACCTGGGACTTTCAGGTCCCGAGTTGGCTGCACTGCCTCTTCACCGTCTCGACCCCCGTTTGCCATCTGTGTTTAACCGTCCAAAATCACGTTTTTGGATCGATAAAAGCAGCTAAGCTGAGAAGCTAAGCTACGAGCTAAGCTAACAGGCCGACCTCGGGGAAAAAATACCCTCGTCTTGTCAAAGCTCCAAAAATTCACAGTTGATACCCGTGCCTTTGAGTGAAATGTTTTTTTTTTTTTCCAAAAAGAAACAGAACTTGTTTAAATGAAGCTTTGTGTGACAAATGCTATGCTAAAGAGCTCAAACCACACCGAGCGTCCGCCATTTTGAGAACCGAAAAACAGGAAGGAGAGACAGCCCACGTCACGTCTAAGGGCCTCCCTCCCACTTTTCTTAGAGACACGCTGCTCGCTCCCTCACTATCCATCCTTCAATAATTCTCAGTCAGGTCATCTGGACAGTTTCTTTAAAAAAAAATTTTATTGAGACATTTCGCCCTCTATCCAGAGGGCTTCCTCAGTCTGAGGAGTTCCAATAAACTGTTTCCCCACCAAGCAGTAAACTCCTTAAGTGGACCAACCAGTTTGCTGGAGCTAAGATGGTTTCTGGGGGGGCATCCTTTCCCCCATCAACTCCTCCCAGGCAGGCAGCCACAACCAAAGTGGTTCAAAGCAACAAAGTTCATGCTCAATCATCCAGGTGCCAAATCCAATAATTCTCAGTCAGGTCAAAAACGAAACTGCCCAGATGACCTGACTGAGAATTATTGGATTTGATACCTGGATGATTGAGCATGAACTTTATCCATCCTTCGGTTCAAACAGTCGTATACTGCCATCCAGTGGTCATAAAAGGTACTACACTCTAAACAAATCAATATTTCTTAAATTTGCCAATAATTACTAATTATTGTCAAATTTCAATCAATAATATCGTTTATCGCAATAATTTCTGGGACAATTAATCGCCCAGCAACATTTGTTATCACCACAGGCCTAGTATAAGCCGCAGGTGTTCACGTAACATGAGTGTCAGCGCGCAGCTACAGAGAGAGATGTGCAGCTCTTGGTCTAGATCCAGAATCAACCACCAGATGGCGTTTTATAAACTTTATGTTCCTGTTCAACACAAACGGAGCGAACCCACAGGGCTTCATGACAACTACATTCATGGTTACTCTACTGAGCGGCCTAACACAAGTTAACTCATGAACACATGAACTAGGCTAACAAGAACAGACTTGTCACTTAAAGAACAATGCTAAACAGCTAGCTGAAATGATTAACAAC